GCTGAATGCGCTGGTTTGGTCTGCCGGCTTCCGTAGCGTCGTGAACGCGCATGTGCGCGCTTTCAGGAAATCCTATACACTACTGTTTATGCTCTAAAAACATTCTAAATGACTTCGTTTCGAGTAAATTCTGGATGCTACCCACTCAGGACACTTGGAATACATTGGACGAGCAGTATGGTGGAATATTGAAACGTTTTTGTGGACTTTTATGGACCTTTCTGTCTCGGGCACCATAGACCTCCATTATTTGAATGTCAGCAGACAGCAAGAAGCCTCCCAGATCTCCAGATGCATTTGAGATATCAAAAAAGTACTCCAGAGTGTTGTTCAGCATGGGGGTGAGTAGAAAATGAAGGCTAATCATGTTTTGGGTGTACTATTCCTTTAAGACATTTAAATGACATTAAATATTTTTATATGACAAACATAAAAAAAAAACAATGTAACTAACAACAACAAAAAAAGTGTATTCAATGTTTGTCTGTTGCAGGGGATTATGTAAGCTGTTAATTCTCAGGGTCTACCTGGTATTTCCATGTCTCTATTCACTCTAAAGTTTGGATGGATGTTGAACCTCTGACTGATGTTTCTGGCTAGATTGTTGAACTTGGTGATCCGTCCACCACAGTCTACTTCACTGTTTCAACACAAGCTCTGTGTTGAGAGCTGTGGGAGTGCTGCCATGGCAACCATTTTGTGAAGTGTTTTAGGCTCCTTCGAGATTTTGGGGAGGGAATGCAAAAAGCAGCTTGTGTATGTATGTGCCTTAGTGTGGAAATCAGTGTTGGCTGGAAGTGCCTGGGTGACCTCATGCACATCTGTGTGTGCTCCACTAATCAGCGGAGAGTTTTTACTGGGAAAAAGTTCCTCTTATATCACATGCTGGAACAGACTATTAAGCTTTTAAAGCTTTTAAGCTGAAAATGGTAAAAAAAAAAATAAATAAATAAAAAAAGGAAATAAAAAAAAGAGAATTATAAAACAAGAGTCTTAAATGTCATCAATTGTTTGACTGGGATCAGCTTGCTGACTCCAGCAGCTGCTCCTGTTCCTAGTTGCCATATCTTATTCATAATCTGCAGAACAGTAACTAGATCCAACAAACTCATTTGACTGCCACTGTTGTTTCTCGGCTGCCGCTCATATGTGAGTTTGTTCATGAGTTCTGCTGAATTACTCAGAGATACTTGTTGCTATTATTATACTTGTGAAGAATCAAATATTACTTTAAGTGAGTGAAGCATAATTTCTATCACACTTTTAAAACCCAACCCAAAGTAAAACAGAAAATGAAACTATAAAAAAAAAATCAACAGAGTGATACAAACAATGCAAACAGGAAGTATCAAAGCATAGTTTAAAAAGCTTTCAAAAAGTCTTTTGAAACTGTCAATACAATTTGTTTTGAGTCTGGATTGGGGTTTTTATTTGAAGTGTAATTTACAAATCATCAGTGTAAGAGCTTAGCAGGTCTGCTTTTATAAAAACTCAAACGTTTTACTGATCAGCTATCATCTTGGTGCCATGAAACAGAGGTTGAGTGGCGACTAAATATCTGTAATAACTAAAAATAGCTAGACTATTAACACATTTGGTTAACAAATGTTAGCATGCTATAATTTTAGTATATTATTTTAAACTAATAATTAAAATATAAAATTTAAATGTAGATACCAGAATGCATAGTAAAGGTTGTCCAATGATACAGAATTTAAAATACATAGATTTCAATTTGATCAGTCTTAGCTTTTAACTTAATCATGGTGTTTATTCCTTCTGGAAGTCTGTGCAAGATTTGTATCATTTAAAAGCTCTGAGGCAAAATACCATGAAATTCTTTATATCTCAAAAGTAGGATCCACAAAAAGCCCAAAACTTTTATTGGAAAATTCTCTCAATTCCTTATTTTCATCATTCCTTTTTTCCAGGTTTTTCTTTTTTCCAGAGTCAGTAACTCAATAGCACATCTATTGTGCAAAGAAACATAGCCCTTCCATTGGTTTCCTTCTGAATGTTTTTATTTCTACATATTTATTTGAGAGTAGAAACAGTTTTATGACATCCATTAAAGGCGATGAGTTCATATACTTACTAGACATTTCATCACTGTGTGTAAAAACTTATGCAGAACATATCAAGCAAGCATGTTAAAGAATGTTTACATCTCCTAGGGGGCATACAAAAATATAACATGTTAAGAATATCATCCAGCCTTACTTTGATAATCAAATGTGTGTGTGAAGAAATACATAAAAAGTATATTTTTGCACAGATTAAGCAAAATAGTTCAAAAGCCCCTCTTATGGGTAATAGAGGTATTTATACTTCTTGAATGTTTAGAACTTGCAGAGGTATAATAATTTTTAATCCGCCAAAAAGTTTATTCCTAAAGGAAAGCAAGATCATTTCTGACTTACAATGAAAAAAGTTCATAAATATGCATGCTTGTGTTTATTTTTATTGTATTTCTAAACATATTTTTTTTCTCCTGCATCATCACTGGAAACTCTTTATTTTTTAGATCTGTTAAACCTTTCCTATCGCTGCTATTTTCCCACTGGTGTTTTCCTTTTGAGTGAACTTCAGGTCTTTCAGGGTGAAAGGCAATCTTTCAATCACTTTAATTTGTAGCTGCCTCAACAGCTTATCATATACAAGTTTGGTCTCCTGCAGGGCCCCTTTTAAGTCCCAAAGTTAGTGTTGTATCAAAGAAAGATTTTGTCAGAGAAAATATTTTTAAACCTCTATCTGTTAGCTGTACAAAATAATTTTGGTTTTAATGCATACAGCTTTCTTAAGCTTTATGTTTATTTATAAATACTTCAGCAACCAATGTCTCACAAATTTACAACAATCAAACAAGGAAAAGTTAAGGACCTATTTATTCCAATAGGACTATATACAGAAAATTCTAATGAGTTTTTGTGAAATCTGATTCTTTTGCATGGTTGTTTACATTTCCAAATATATGCGACTTGTACAGTATGCGATGAGCTGCATTCATTCTACAACTTAAGGTGTCACAAGTAGCGAGCATGTTCTGTGTTTATGAAAGTAAACATTGATTGGAAGTAACAAAGTA